TTTATTTTTTAAACAAACAAAAAAAAAAAAAAAAAAAAAAAAAAAAAAAAAAAAAAGAAAAAAAAAAGAAAAAAAAAAAGAAAAAAAGAAAAAAGCATCTCCAAGACAGTTAAGAGACTCTGACTTATCTGGCCTTCAATTTCATTTCAGCTCCTACACCAATGATATAAATACAATCAATAAAAAGAAGGATCAACAGCACTGAAATCAATCTCTAGATAGCTACCTTAAATTCCTTATTCATCCATCAGCTGAGCTGGCTGCTACTGATTAAAGGCAGTAATACTAGATCATTCTGGGACTTTGTCTCACTTTTTAAGCTAACGAACTTAATGAACTGATTTCTATCAGCTGTAGTAACTCCTGTTAGAACCTGTGATGAGCTTAAACTATATTCTGTATATTTGGATTCTAAATACTTCCCATAATATTAAATACATAACGGTCTAAAATTCCATCTGAATGTCAGACCATTAATTTCTCCAGCCAGGCAATGTTTTCCACGACACTTGGTTCTTCCACCCATATACTTACTTGTCATTGAACTAATCCCAAAACCTGATAAAACTAAGCAAGCTCCAGAGACAGAATGCATGAGTAGATTATGATGATCAACCAAAAACTTTACCTCCGCCATCTTCTCTCAAAGAAAGCAAGACTGCAATAAATTGCAGTTTTAAGAGTGACTTAAAACCCCCCCAAACAACCAAGTCACTGTGTTGGCACACTGAATATTTTAAATCACTTGTTTATCTTTTGAAATCAGTATGTCTCAGCTATAAAATCAAGCATGCAAGTTCTGACTCCATCTTTTACATCTGCAGGCATTTTAAGCCTTACCTCAGATGACAACTCAGTAATAAGTGTAACATTCATTTAAATTCATAGGCAAGTCTTCAGAAATCCCAGATTTAAAACCTGTCAAAAATTGCATCTTTGGAAGAAGAGAGTAACATTCTACTTCTGTCTTATGAAATTGAAGGAAAAAAGTCAATACCTGAAGCTCCCGAGACTGTTACTAGGGCAGCATATCAAAGCTTCCAATACTTAGATTGGATTAAAGCAGAATGCATTAAACTTTAAATTAATAAATAAATAAAAATAAACATTTACTTTACCTTGTCTCGTGGCACAGCAGAAGGCAATTCCCGGGCTAACCTGTTACGCCTTTGTTCCTTTAAAAACAACCCAGCAAGATCTCAATTATGTATTACTCTGTATCAACACATATGCAAGATTCATATTTTACAGATGACTTACATTTTAGAGACAAACACTAGTAATTTCATCTCATCCAGTGTCATGCAGTCATACTACGATCATATGAAAACCTCAATTATTTGGACAGAACTACTCCGATTACCTGGTCAAAAGTAAATTCTCAATATAAAAACTTTTGCAGCACGCTCCATAATCAGAACTAGAGCCTTTAAAAAACAAGATGAAAGCTACACAGTTTGGCTCAGCGTAGATATCCTACAGCCCTCATTGAGCTTTAAATCCTCAAAGCAATCTAAATGGATTTGATTCTGTGGCCATCAGGGTTAACTATGATTAGCCCAGAAGGAGGAAGCAGCAGCATTCACTTTGTAGCAAAACAGAATTAGAAGCAATCAGGATAAACAAAGATCAGATTTTTCTTGAAATTAAAAATTGGTTGTCCACTTAATAAGGATAAGATGTTTTACGTGCTTTGTTTCTTCAACAATTTCAATGTCCTGTTCAGGAAAATGTTTGGAAAGAACTAGTTTAAGTAACACATGATAAAACAATAATCTCATATGTTCACCTTCACAAAGTCCTAATTTTTGTACTCACGGTGGTTTGCAGAGACATTGTTTCTGAACTAGATTCAAGAGCATTCTAACAAGGCAAATTCAACTGCATAGCTAGTCAATACAAAATTTATGTATAAAATAAAGTAAAAGGTTAGGACTGAAGAGAAGAAATTATAACATAAGCATTTAAAAAAAGGAACACTACTATGAAAGAATGTGTTGGATAAGCAGGGGAACACAAGTATATTAGTGAGCTCTTAGCCAGATGGATGAAGCACTGCAACAAAATCAGACTGCAAGACAGAACTGAGCAGATCAGTTATAGAACAACAGCAAACAAGTATTACCAATCAAAGCTAGGCTGGAAAAACAGAAAGGCTATTGAAATTGTTAAAGGTTTATGGGAGACTGATGGAGAAAATTGTCTTAGGGAGACTGAAGTGTGGTAACTCAGAGATACAAGAACAATGCTGAAAGGAAGCAGAAATTAGAACCTGAATAGAGGAAACAATACTTGTATTATCCTTTCATGTATGAGAGGTACATTGTAGCTAATGATACATTCTGTCAGAGACAAAATGCAGTTACTTCAACATTAAAGAGTATTTCACAACTATCTATTTAAAGTTTCTCTTCCAAAAATTTCATTTGATGGCCAATACTTGATTAGGTACCCATCTTCTTTTCCAGAAAGAAATACAGGCAGAATTGTTTTCAGTGTAATATCAACCACTGTTCCTCAATGTAATATGCAATACAAATCTAACAAATTAATATATCACAAGAGTATACACCATATTTGTAATATATCACATTTTTATACTTCAAAATGTAGAATCGTACTTCAATGAAAGAAATGTAAGCCTTTGTTCTTTTACCAATTATTTAGGATCTCACTTAAAGGAGTCAGAAGACTTTTAAGATAATGTATTTTCTTACCTCTATGTTGTTATTCATTAAACCACAGGCATCAGCAAAGTCTGGATGTTTGGTATTGATATAAGCTAACTCAATGGCCACTAGATTATGAACCTGCAATGCAATGTCATTCACAGTTCAAAACTTCAGTGAGTAATCTAATGCTACTGAAGAGCAATGACCTACAATGCTAGAAAGCATAGTCTAACTGTCCATAGGAAACGACTGTTCTTAGTGCCCCAAAGACATAAAAGTTCTGATTCAGAAGGCAGGAAGGTCATTCATTCATTCATTGCAGTACATTCAGACCTTCAGCTGTTTCAGATGTTACATCAGTTTAACTTATTAGCTTCATCAAGCTAACCCCTCTCCAGCAATAAATAAACAAAACTCAGTGATTTAATGAGTGAAGCTATACAGTCATGAAATGAGCTATATAATCAACCTTCAGTCACAAGCCACATACAACATTTTAACCAGTAAGAGATAGCTCGCTGTGGAGGACAGTGAGCATACAGAACAATTTTGCTTTTTACATCAAACATTTGTAGACACATGCAGAGTCAGTAAGTGAACACTTTGCTTCCTCCCCAATAAGCAGCCCAAAGGTTCTCATTAGCCAAAGCGCATTACAAGAAAAATTAACATTTTGTGTTGATTTTACCTCTGAAACACACAGAATAAGGACTATGATTTAATTTTCATCATTGCATCCCTACCCTACAGTAAATGCACAGCTTCTGTATCAGGGAAAGGAAATATACCTGTATCAAAAAGACTAAATGTTACATCCAAGTTTTAGTAATCTTCTTGGGAAATTGAAACATAGGGAACAATACACTGAAGAGGGTTCCCTCTACTCCTTTCTTTTTCATGTGTCTATCTTCTAATATAGTACAAGTTTCAAACAGTGCAGATATTAAATAGCTAGCTACTTAACAAATATGAGTTAAGATTCCTTTAATAATTTGCGTTCCTGACATTGCATAGCAAACAGAAGCATCATTGAAGACTCCAGAAGACACGTACTTTTCCCAGCAAAATTATAGTAGGTGGAAAATTACCATTTCATTTGTGACAGGAAGTCTTCTACGCAGAAGACAGGTTACTACTTCAACTATGGCATCATGCAATTTAGGAAACCTCAGTAATTCCTAAAAAGGAGAAAAAAAATTTACTGATGAGAGTTCCAGAATTTTTCAGGGAAGTGGGTGGGAGGAAAAAAAGCCCAGTGATTTACAAACATAGTTCTAAAACACACATTTTTACCTGTGTACTGTAATTACTACAATGCTGGATAATCCTCTGCATTTCTTCGTGAACCAGTTCCACACAGCGCAAGCTGGGCTCTTCTAAACGTTTGATTTGCCTTTTTACCAGCAATTCAAATGAAACTTCAGGAACAAACAAGGCAGGGCGGGGACCCTAGTTCAAAAGAAACAGAAAAAGCTGCTACATTGTGTATTTAAACAACAGGCATTTCTAAAAGGTAGTATCTGATGAAGCCCAGAATAAATCAGGTCAAAGTGTTCACATCCAAAAGAACACTTGAAACAGATCTGAAGAGTAAAACATGTTACAAGAATATTTAAGTATAAAGGCTTTATAGGCTAAAGAAATTAAGAAGTTATTACCTTTAAGACACATTCTGTGTTAAATAAGGATTAACCAACATCCTTACAGAATCTTGAAGATTTCTACCTCCTAATGTCACTTACTGCAAGGTAGCTAAGGTTTTCTGTTAAATACAGTCATAAATCAGTGTCACTGATTTACAGTGTTTGGGATAATTTCATTTATGAATACACTGTGAAAGCATACTTACATGTTTGACATCCAAAGTCAAGCTCTAATGACTGAACATTCTGTATACTGCAAAATTTAGAAGTGAACTTACTCTGTTAATTCTTAGCAACAACAATTCCCATATTCACAAGAAACCCAATCTGTCATGTAAACACTGAACCATTGAAGAGTTATGTCCGTTATGCAGAACGAAAATACCAAACATGTCCTAGTCCATACATCTCAGACTGATAAGTGCTGAATGCAAAATAAATGCAGAGGCACTCTTTCTGTAATATATAATAGTATCAGCATAAGGTTGCCAAAGCTGGGCCTGAGCTTAATTTTGCCTGTAAATAACAGTAATGAGATGTAAGCATTCACTTTAAACTAATTTCATATCGGATAGTGGCTGCAAAATTGGATATTGTATTTTTTCCCTTAAGAAACCAAAAAAGCAAGATTCAGCCTCTTCATATTAACTCATTCATCTGAAATCATTAATCATTAACACAAATTTGTTGAACTTTATCTTTGAATCCATTATATAGTAACAACACTTAGAAATACAGAAGAACGCTCACAGTAGCATTTCTAATGGCAGTCAGAATATCAATTGTGTTAAGGCCACCCAGAGGGTCAACAGATTCTAAAGTTCTTCCAAAGGTCTCATGAAAAATATAACAGATTCTGGCTCCACCGCATCTGAAAGAAGAAAACAACAACTGAAGGAGCAAACAAGAAAAAAGCTCTCATTGCAAACATTTTTTACAGTTACTTCGATTCGAACATTTTTGAGTGTGTTACGCTCTAAGTGTAGTAGTACTGACAATGAAAGCCATCAAGAACCACTGGGTCGATCTAAATGCTCAGTCAATATTCTAAAAAACCATTTGGTACTTACAGCTCTGAAGTCTCTATGTATTTTGCTGTTCCTTCAATAGTGTTACAATATTCTGTGGCAAATTTGGTAATAAGCTGCAATAAAGTGGCACTTTTGTCCTCAACAGGTTCCCCATAGCTGTTTAGTAGAGACTGGTACTGAGCAGCTAAAACATTGATTCTGGTTTTCAGTTCTGGCAAGCAATCCCTGATATGATGCATCAGTAGTCTGAAAGTAGAAAACAGTCCTTCCTTAGAAGGGAGGAAAAGTTTCAGCTTTATCATCTCCCTTGAAACAGAGAAGAGACTGAAAACAATCACCAAAGGAAAACATTTACTGAGGAAAACTACAGTAAATTCAGTAATTGAATTTGGAACCAAATAGAGCTTTCCTTAATGCATCACCGTACAGCACCAAAAGAAAAAGGTAAAAATAAATGTTTACACATTTCTAACACACCAATTTATATATTAAAGTATCTTTAAAAGCACACATTTGTTTTATTTTACATAATATGTAATACCTGTTCAGTGTTCTAGCAAGATACTTGGTTCCATTTCGATTGGCTAGGGAAGGATACTTCTTTTGAAGAAAACCATACTCATCACGAATGGAATCAGCTACACTCTTCTTATTGTTAATATCCAACTGACTCCTGAAGTCAAAAGGCAGAGTTACACACTAGTTAATAGATGCACAGTAAAAATAGCTTACACTTCTCTTTTTCTGGACAGGAGATCTAACAGTTGGGTTTTGCTTTACACACATAACTCATCTTCCTTAGACAACAAAAGGTTTTATTTGTTGTTGCATGCAGCATAGTCAACAAATCAGCATAGGCAGCAGCTGTACACAGACTAAGTAACGCCTCTATCAAAACTGCATGAGATTTTACCTAGCTAATGTAAAAAGTAAAAAGAACAGTGCTATAGTCATATGCAGTTAGCACTAATTTAGCACTAATACATACAAGATCACAGCTGACCAGAAGCATCCCTCAAGGTGAAAAACAACAGCAGCAAGAAGTGACACTACAGTTCTTTTAGAAGTGCTCCTACTCCTTTCTAAATTAGCATTTGGTTGAGTGGAAGAAGAGACAGGCTTTTGAAAACTGAGCAACAAGCTTCTCGCCTTCTTATTCAGAAGTCTATTTCAACATGAAGTCACCTTATTCTTAAAATCATATTCATGGTTAAAAAAGCCAAAAGCATCCCTTTGTGTTAACACAGTTTTAAGAATAGCATCAATGTGCCCAGACAGACCTGTTTACTACTCCAATGATGCCAAGTTTTACTGGAATCACTCTTCCCATAAGCACATCCATAGCATCAGTACCAGCATCCATGAGATCCAGCTTTGTGATAACAGCGAGGGTTCTTCGACCTACCAAAAGGAAAACTCACTCACAGGGATGTTTTATCTTGGGTAGCTAAAAATTATGATTCAAAAAGTTCCTCAGACAGCTGCATGAAGTTCAATACTGTAAACCAGCAAAAACGAGCGTAAGAACATGTGATGTTAGTCTGTCTGGAGCCCCGCATTAACAGGAGCAAAATAAAGTATTTAGCAGGTACTCCTCCCCACACAGGTCTGGTTAAAGAAAAAGGTTTATGAACCATACAATTTGAAATTATCGTCATTACTGATTACAACAAACATTTTTGCAAACTACACAAGGTTAGAGGCGTTACTAAGCACTTGTGGAGAAGACTTAAGTAAGGCAGGTAGAGGATCCCAAGTGCGAGTGGACTGAACATATTTCTAGCATATACATAGGACCAGAGGTAATGGCAATCTGTCTGGAACTATATTTGAAATACCACTAGCTACTGGAGAAGCTGCTAGAGGAGGCAACAGGCCCACTCTCAGCGTAGTGCATCAAATACATAGCTGAAAGCCCCAAGAGACTGAATACCTTGAAATCCATGTACTGAAGAAGCATTACAGGATTTAATTTTGCTAATGAAACATACTTTTATTGAATATGTGACAATGTTTTCCAAATTAAAACTAAGCTTCATATTGGACACTGTGGAGAAACAAGTGACCTAAATTCATTAAATAGGTAAATATTGCACATCTAAACAGGCAGACTAACATGCACAGGATTTGTCTAGGACCTTAATATTTTTTCAGGCTCTTGGGTCTGAAAACAAAGTGCCAAGAACTTTTTCTTTAAATTATAACACATTTTTCAAGTCTAAAAATAAACTAGTATCTCAGAAAAATCAGAACCTGCAACATGAGCTGCCACTCCACCTTTAAGATTTAGAATTTTGGGAAGTGATGCAAAAAATCACAGCTGATAATTTTTACAGAGGTAAATTAAAAGGAAAGAGTCTGCTGCTTTGAACCAGGACAATCTGACTGAGAAGACTGCCCAGAGAACAGGTTCTCCCTCGAGGTTACATGGCTGTGGAACCCATAAAGGCTTATGCAGACAGGCCAAAGCAGACTCAAAGTTTGAAAACAAGCACGAAATGATATGGTCTATGGGAAGAAAACATTGAGGGTAAAGCATACCAACACCGAATTTTAGTCTAATTTCAGTATAACTATATTCAGAGTATACTTTTCCATATTCTTTCAAATCACGCAGTGCCATTTATTAGTCAATGGTACTGAGAGCACTTTCTGCACACAAGAAGCAGGTACCCAGTAGCTTCAGATCTGTTTCAAAGCCTAACTATACAACTAGAATCGGTCTAGATTAAAGCAAATCAGTTCTGTCACAAAAATGCAGGGCACCACAATGGATATTGACAGTATATATTTATATTAATTTTACTTTTACTAAAAGTCACTAAATTAACAGCTAGACAGTCAATTACTAGCTGCAGGATGGGATATTTTCTCAACTAAAAGAAACAACATTGTACAATAAAGTGTGAAGCCATCCTAACGGACCACTGTAAACTACTAAAAATGTCAAAAGCCCCAACACTCTGTTAACGCCATTTTTCTACTCTGGAAGCAGCAGTGGCTCCTACAAATATTAACATATTTATCTGGCCTGTTCATAAGCCAGAAATCTATTAGATATTAATGGACTGCAGCAGGAAGTCTTTAAGCAAATATAATAATTTTATTTTCTAGGAAATGCAGTGACATTTGTTTTTCTTACTACTTTTTGCCCAAATGACTTCAGTTTTATTTTAGGATTTAATTTTAAAAAAGAAGTTGAATTACAAGATCCAGTTTTTCTTGCTGCTTACCATCTGGATCCACCTCCCGTGCAATTTTAAGTGCTTCTGAAGTGGCCATGTCTGTGTTAGCAGCTGTGACTGCCAGAATAATGGAGTTTGGGTTGCTGATGAACTGAAGGATTAGCTCTCTTATCTGAAGTTCAATGTCCTTAGGCTGATCACCAACAGGCACCTAGAGAAAAAAAAACAACACAGAACTGTTAAAAATTGTATATTTATGCCAGTATGAGACCACTCATTCGAAGTTCATACCCTACACCACAGTATAAGGTAAAGTTTTCCAGCCCTTTCCTTCCCCCTTCACAAACAAACAGTAAAGAAAAGGAAGATCTTGAAAGGTATAAAAGTCAAAAACACTCATAGAAATAAGAATAAATTCAAATTATTTGTTACTGTTGTCAAGAAGACTTGGTATCCAAGAACCACCTGCACAACTGGCAGAGTGGGGTGTGTATGTGTGCCTAAGCAAGGAGAGAAGTCACCTTGTCACCTTCACGCCACAGAAAATTATTCAGTATAAGACCTGAACAAACAGGACCTGAACAGTTCTTCTACTGTATCCTCACTTTACACCACTTCTTACACAAAATATGCATAGCAACTTCTGGAGAAGCAATAGAGAAAACATTTTCAAACTTGTCAGCTACCCATTTATCTGCAGGTACAACTTTGAAACTTCGAGTGCTACCTCTTATATTAAAAAGAACATGTAGCCCGCACAATGCTTCCAATCTCTTGATTGTATATAGAAAGAGGAAGAACTTAACCAAATCTACCTCTTACAACAGTGAAGAGCACGAGAAACCCAAATCTCACACCACAAGATGGTGACATCTCAAATTTATATAGCCAACTACTTAACGTGAGGAAAGCTGTTTATCTAACAATACAGAATAATGCCAAAGAGTGAACATATACTCCTTGTTTCAAAACACACTGTTCACAGTGAGTCGGAAGAGAAGCATTCCACACCTTACCTTTGTCATTCCTGGTAAATCCACAAGAGTCAGATTTACAACATTAGATGAAAAAATCTTAAGATGAATAGGTTCAGGACTGATACCCTAGAAATATAATAATGACAAAAATTAATCACGCTACTGGATTATTTAAATGCACCCTTTAGAAAGCCAAAAGCTGTAGTTTCATACTAGAAAAACTTTCTTCTATCATATACCTTACACCTACTTGGTGAGGAAAAAAAGCAAGCCGCATCTGTCAACTGATTCCTTTGCCTTTGGAAGCAGCCCTGTCTTCCCCCTCAACGTAATACATAAAAGCTTTTATATTTTAGTAGTTATATAGGTATGAAAGAACAGAATACTCAATTTTATAATTACACATAAAGCCATGTATGTGGAAAAATGGAAGCAAGTTTAACTCAAAGTTTGTGTTGTGCACTATTATTACAGAAGCTTTGAAGTAAAGAGAGAGTAATTCTCTTCATTTTCTTTTAGCTGAAGTCACTTATCTCACGAACAAAGTGAAAAAAAACTCAAGATAGCAAGCAGCATTATGGCATTCATTAGAATAGTTCAGTGCTTTTCACTTCTAGCTGCCAGAACTGTTTAAGAAAGGTTTAAGCAGCAAGAGAATGTAGAGCAAGACAAAGATGGACAGTGCAACATTTACCTTATTATTTCCCGAAATCCTCTCTGTTTCGTTTTCTATTTCTTGACGAATTTCATCAAAATCTGTATAGATCTGAAGTATGGAAAAAAATTATCTAAAAATCAAAGACAGCATACACTTACCTAATTGCAAAATAATTCTCTCTTCTCCAAGAGACAGTAAAAACCTCTGTAACTAAGTATACAGAAGGTGAGAAAAAATAAGAATGACTATTAGCCCTTGAACTAATGCTAACAGCATTCATCATTGCTAAAAGCTAGAGAAATCATAATGCTGGTATTTAATCTGTTAATTAATAATATGAGATGGCTAATAAGCACTTATTACCCCATCAATGTCAGACAAGATATAAAACAGTGTTCACCCAAAGAGAATTTCAAATACTTAATTCCATTTCTAATCTAGTTGCAACCTGTTGAAGTTAATAAACAACATGTAGCCTGAACCTCTTCTCAGCTTGAAAAGAGCAAAGAACAAAGACAGAGTCTCATTTCAAAGTTCTTCCACTCTTGTCAAATCTATACTCCTTCCATCAATTCAAAATAACTTAACACAGGGCTACCCTTGCACAGGTTCCCTCTGCATTCCTCTCTAAATTTCCTTCTATTTCTAGCACTGCCTGGAAAGTGAGGAAATCAGTTTAAAGTAATAAAAACTTAAATAATTCCTCTGCCAGCAAAAAGATTATGATCTTCAAGGAAATAGTTAAGCTTGGGCTTGCTTACTGAAGTTGTAGGTCATCTCAGTTTCTGCTTGTCCTCCCTGAAGAGCATTAAGCTCTTCCTTCCTCTTTATAGCTTTCTAATAAATCTCTGAAGTAGCCAATTCTTCTGTGGACTGAAATGATTTGATTATATACTTCACAATTTCCATTCTAATTTTGCCATTGCACACAAAAAAAGAAAAATCAACAAAATAACACATAAAGTATTAAGATAAATAACTTGGCAGAATCAATGACCCTCACAACAGACAACCATCAATAAACTTTCCATCTTTGAGTTTAAAAGAATGTTTCCAGAAGTTTTCCACTCATAAAAGCAAAACAGAAAATCCTTAATACTCTGGCATATAGCACAGCAGGTAGCATAATCTCCTTTTTGGGAAAGTCAAAGGAAGAGATATAGAATTAAGTATAGATATAATAGCATATTTATGACATTGCTACTCCATCATTACAGTAAACATACCTTATTTTTGGTGTGAAGAAATTTACCCCACTCTTCAGCATCTATCTCTGAAAAGAAAGAATTGAAACATGAGGAAGAAGAAGCAGATATTTCAATGACATTTTTCCCAGAACCTGTTTGTTGAAAATTACAATGTGATTTTTCTTTTCCTCAAAGCAACAAGAGAAAAATTAGTCTGCTTTCTAGTGTTAGATGTTAAATAGCTCAGTACAAATACACTTATGATTTTGCTTATTTAAACACTGCATCTCATTACTCTCTTTAATTTTTCTCTTTTACACAAGATCCACATTTTTAACTGTGACTGAGCCAATCGGCTATCCCACCGTTTTTCAGAAATGGTCTAGTCCATTAAATATCAGCTTGCAACAGAAAAAAAAAAGTTATTAGCAATAGCTTAAAAAAACCTGAAAAAAAATACCAGCTTCTAGCATCTTTTCTTTTACCATGCAAGTGAGATCAAGTTACAGCTGAAAGAAAAAGTTCAAAAAACCTGTGGAATCAAAACCAAGCAAAGGGAAAATACATAAGAATTCTGCATAACAATGAAGTCTTAGGAGAACACAATGGTCTCTTCCCAAACCTGTCAAAGACCAAACATCTTAACTCTTGTCAGTCACCACTGATGTCCAGAATTACTTGGGGCCTATTCAAGAGCAGTCCCAGAAATAGCAAAGGAGGTTTTGTCAATTCCTGCTTCAGAGTGCAGGTAGCAGTTTGAGTCACACTGAGAGATACTCACACTTCCACAAGTAGGTTTCCAAGCATTAGTGATAAGTTCCACTTCAAATTTTCAGTTTGTGGTCACTTCCCCTCCGCTCCCTGATACAGCAATCTACTCTAGAATAGTCTACAAGCAATCTGGCCATTCGGCAAACACACTGCTTACCTACCATCAAGTCATCTTTCAAAACAGTTTTTTCGCTCAAGTTGAATTTCAAGATCCTAATCAATAGAGATTTTTTTTTAAAGGATTTGGGAATTAAAGTGCAGGAAATTCTATGAAGCAGCAACAGCACAGAAGAAAAGCAAAAAATAATCTCATTCTAATGCAACAAGGTCAGAAAACCAAAAAGCAACCAGATCATAAGACTCAGCAAAATAATCAATCAACACAGTAGCCAAAGTGTAAAACTAAAAGTGTAATCAACAATAAAGTGGCATGAAATGTAGGTGGTTAGTGTATATAAGCATGCACATAGGGAGGAAAAGCAAGTGGATAAAGGCAACCTTTAGAAAGGTGTCTTGGATTTTTCCACGTAGCAGGGTCTGCAGTTAAAGAGAAACAGCATTGAACGATGTTTAAAATTTTTAATAATATTTAATATAGCATTTTATTAACTTTCAGTACCAGACTGTATTACAAAGATCACAAATGCATGCAGACAGATGTGCATGCTATTCTACTATTGATGAGAATGTGTAACATATTAACAATATGCATAAAGATCTTAACTAAACACTGATAAATTATGGATATTAATCAGATATTCAATACGACAAAGTTTACTTGACGATGACTTTCTTATTGCTGTTCATCTAATTCCAACGGCTCACAATATTTTTATCTGAACACAGAAAACAGCACCAATAGGTTACACAAAGCTGAACTTCGGCAAAATATGTTTCTCCTCATTTACTCAGGGCAAGAATGAGAAAGAGTAAGGAAACATTTTTAAAGTCACTGGAAGTAATATTACTGTATGGGAAAGAAATCTGAGGTTTTGCATCTATCTTTCTTAATGCTCAATTTAAAAACTAATTACAGCAGTTCTCAGACAGATTTAAGAAGAGACAACATTGGCTATCACCCTTCTCTTTTAATTTTCTCAAAATATTTATGGAAATCCCATTACAAAAAAAAAAAAAAACTTCTTATTGAAGGGTTGATGAGTTTACAACTCTATATTTTTATGTGGTGCCAGTAGAGCATCATGGAAGTCCAAGAATCAAAACAAACCCATGAAGACATTTTTGGCACATGCCTGTTTAGCACATAATGTAAGTAGCACATCAACAATCAATTCATCAGTTTGGAAAAACTAGTACATCTGGGAAGTTATTATAATGTCTTGCTCAGGTGAGTAAATCAAAGGTTTATCATTAGTGGAAATACTTAGATGGACTGGATCCATTAAGTAAAATAATTTGAAATGCCAACTCTTTTTATCCTTACTGTTCTGCAGGCACATGAGCTACGAAGAAACCACTGTTAGAAGGCAGCTTCTGTTTGCCTTGGTTGGTAAATAGGCAAAATTACATACCAGTCTCCAAAATAAGTGCAAAATGAAAGGGCTCATTAATTCCAGGTTATTAAACAGGTTTATTTACAGTTCAGAGGAAAGAAAGCAAACTGCACATACAGGAAGAAACTACAGTATCTTTAAGACTGTATTGCTCATCCCCTCTTAAAAACTGAATCTAAGAAAGTAAAGACAGGCATAAAGCCAGGAAGAAAAAGTTACTGCCACAATTACACTTGAAAGATACAGACCAAGCACTCTCCTGTTACGTCCCTCCTAGGGAGATGATGTCCTCCTAGGACACACTGTTTTAGTCTTAAATTAACTGGTTTTGTGATGGCATAGGAACTTGGACTTGCAGCTAGGTACTAGGCTTAGTTCTGTGTATAAAGAAATATTTTGTTAGTATAATCTATTAACTATTTAAAATATATATGAAAAAAGATGCATTCTAGTCAAAGACATGGCATTTTAACTTGTTAACATCTATGGATCAAATAAGACTTAAAATTTTTTAACCTTGAACAAGTCACAAGTTTTCTTTGCTATATATAACACAAGAAAAGACTGAAACCACGATAAATAGCTTAGTCTTAACCTCAGCCTTGGTGCACATAAAAAAAGAAGAAGAAAAAAAGTTAAAGAATAAATGCAGTCTCCTGAGGTATACAGAAAATCTCATCTAGTCCAAGCATAAGCTTTTACAAGTTTCATTTTATACAGTGGGGAAACTCTTGCCCCACTCTTCTGAGGAAGTCTGCACTGACACCCCTTTAATATTTGAGAAAAATTTCCCAATAGCTCTAATTTAATGCAGGAGTTTTTAGGAAAGGAGGAAGGATTTGCATTACTCAAAATGCAAGGATGCTCAAGGCAAGGAGAAAATATTTTAATTAGCCTACTTACAACATCCAGTGTTCCGGTTTACCTGTAGAACATTTTTCATTTTTTTATCACTAGTTTCAGTGGTAAATCAGTCTTCCCCTGGTTATGTTACTTCAGGTAACATTCAGGTGAATTAATCACCTGATTACATTCAAGAGTCAGTGCTAGATAAAAGTGTGCAGAAATGACACTTCAGTCATTATAAATTGAAGGATTATAGATTACAAGAAATTATTAAAACAACAGCTATTAAGAACAAACAGATCCTGCCTTTCAAAAAAAACATCTCCCAAATAAAGCAAGAGTCCATTTGCTTTTCTGGCTTTTGATATCCTGGAGTGATACCTGAAAACTTTAATTAATATACTGGAAATCTAGACATGATTACAGTATTTTTCTCATGACTGCCCTCCACCAAATTGTCACCTGTTATCTCCTACACAGCAATGCTCCTTTAAGAAGCTAAAATACAGTACAACGCTAACTGACTTCAGTTATTCACATATCTCTTCTCCCTTCCTAAAGCAGTAGAAATGTTCCTCATAACATAATGGAAGCACAAAGAAGATGTTTAGAGTCATAAAAGGCTTCCACCACAGAGGATTTCTTGCAGCCTGACAATGACAACTTCCCAAATACTAAAAAGGACATAAATCAGCAAAGCATGAAGAATCTCAACTGTTTTCCTAGCTTTCTAATTCCTATACCTTCACAGCTCTTGGACCCAGCAGACTACCACCTGAACTCTCTTTTTCCTCCCATCACCTCATCCTTTCCTAGCTCTGTCTTTAAATAAAAAGAAATCCAACTTGTGAAAAAACATGTACACGTCTTCCAAACCCTTCTGTATGTTGTACCATCTTTCTGTCCTTGATTCTAACTAGATGGCAAGCTCTTTTGAGTGAAAGCTCTTTTTCTCTAGTGCTTCTACAAAGCTAAGTACAATCAAGCAGTCCACACTGTTTGGGAGGTAGGCGTAAGGGACTCCTGTTTGAAGTAAAGCACAGAAAGCTGCCAAAACATTGTTGATTTAGCAAGCAACAGGTATGTTTTAATTATTTCTGTGTTCCATATAAATTCTATCTGTTCAGGATTTGAACAATGTTCAGCTTCTTATCTTGGACTAAAAAAAAAAAAAAAGAGAACCTATAAACATTTATTAATTGACCATTCATATGTTCCCTCCCTCTTTTCCATTTCCTAACAAATGGATAAGGTATCAGAATAGGTCTTAGCTACAAGACCAATTTAATAATTCATAAAACCAGGCCCAGTTCTCTCATAAATACTGCTTCTCTTGTAATCTGATATGAGAACACTACCGTGTGGTATCACCACATTAAACAAGCCATACGTGCTGCTGATTCACTACAGGCTAACAATAAACAGCAAAAGCATAATGGGAACATTGCCTTCACACCAAACCACATACATCTCTGTAGAATATATGTATCAGTTTGAAATATCATGTTATGAAAACACAGCATTTCTTCATATTTAATGGAAAATTCATCTCTCTGCTATTTTCTGACAACTTTGATCTATTGCAATGACCACCATACAAGGGTACGACATAACTCATTGGTGGCTTTGAGAAACAGCAGAGATGATCTTTAATGTTGCATGTTAAAAAATCAGAAGTTAGTTCAAATGTCTGGCTGTAATCCTTTCTCAAAAAATTTTTTCCCAATGTGCTCCCAAGATTCAAATAAAATAATAAAAAATAAAAACCCACCAAACCAAACTAAATTGATATGAACTGATATTCTTTGTCAGCTCACATGCATCAGAAGATGTCAAAATGAAGCTACTGGAGAGGCACAATTTTTTCCTTCAGAGTCATAAAAGACAGGCCACTTTTCCATCCTTAATTGAATATCACAGCAATCCAAAGTGCTTTGTGTTAAAAACAGGGAAGCTTTCTGGATGCAAACACTCAAACAGAGGTAAAATCAAAGCTTAAGAACCACAGACTATTACTACTTTTAAACTGATGTCTTTATATGTAATACCAGTACGTATCTAGAGAAAGCATTAGGACGGTTAAAGGTGACAGATCACAAAACAGAAATCACAAAACAAAGAGGCAGTTGCATAAAGTATCTGTGCACACAGATAATTCATTACCAGCATATTCAGAAAGCAGCATGCCAAGACTGATATCCTGTTCTCCGATACTCAATTTGTGAAGAAGAAACCCTTATCTGGAGAAAATCCTTTTCTTCAAGACTATGGATAGATTTCCCTCTGGGAAATCCCAGACACATACTCAACCCTACCTCAATATCCAACTCACAACAAGCAAAAACCATGACCTGTAATAGTATAGTGACCTATTACAATGTCAGACGGCATACCCAGGATACGAGGTTGCCATCTTTTTTCTTTCCAAGCTGCTTGATCGCATCTTCTCAGATGTAACATCACAATCTGTGCATACACTAAACCAGATCAGTGACAAGACCATTTAGCCTGTGATTTGCCTGAATTTTGGAGGGAGAAGAGAGGCATTTCAAATGCAACTGGTAAGCCATAAACGTTTGTCTCTTCTTACCAAACAAGCCCATGTCTCCCTCAAAGGAGCATCAAGAAGAGATTATAACATGTATGTCTTACATATTGATTTATTTTCCAAAGATCTAAATGGGCCTTATAAACATTAATTTAGCCCAACATCCTTATCCAATAATATCATTATTCCATTTTAAATTTAAAAACAGAATCCGCAGATCAAATGCAACCTACAATAGAAAGGCTCTGTCTTGAGTCAGAATACTCTTAATTACAAAACCATCTCTTACAACTGTAGCGTTGCAGAGCAGAACAAAATCATGTTTTATCCTACAACTCGGAATCAAAGTGTTCTGAAAAGTACTAGGAATTATACATTGCACAATGCAAGTAACATAAAACCACATTTGAAGAGATCAAGTGTGCCGTTTCTAAAAGGTTGCCCAAAGACACTCTGAATTCTCCATCCTTGGAGGTTTTCAAGACTCAACTGGACAAAGCCCTGAGCAACCTGGTCTTGAGTTCAGAGTCGGCTCTTTTTTGAGGAGGAGTTTGGACTAGAGACCTCCTGAGATCATTTGCAACCTGAATTGTCCTACAATCCAGCACACCCTGGCTTGCAGTTAATATTTGGAATTGTGTTCTCTGCTTGCGGCAATACAGAAAATTGGACCTTAAACCTTTTAAACTGCACAATATTACTAACTGTTCTTCAATAACTGAAGCCTATAAATACTACATGAAAAGAAATACTGTAAAGAAATTCTGGTACCTTGACTTACTATTGCTAGAAATAAATTTCAAACAACTTGAGCACATGAGAATTAAGAACTGTAGCCCCAAGTTTATCATGCCATCAAAAGCCTGTGTACATTTACTGTCTAAATCAAAAGGCCAAGAAGATTTATCTTACAATAATAATTACATAATTACAATGCCCCTGTTGCTCTTTCATAAAATCAAAAGCACTAGTTTGTATAGGATGAACGTTCAAACTCCCAAAGGACAACTGATACTACTTTCTTGATCTGCTGAAGGAATACAGAAACACTACAGAAGACACAAGCTTCCAACTAGACAGATTCAGAACATTTAAAGTGGTGTTCTTGATGTGCTTGGAATCTCTCAGTGCAGCCCAGTAAGGTAGCATCTATAAGCTACATAATGTGCCCATTAAATTCTGTTTGCGTCTACTACAGGTTTGTTTTCATTCCTCCTTCCACTCTGTCCAGAGCTTACCTATTTCCTAACCTCCTTCTAAAAAGTCACATCCTCATCTTCTCAAGGAGAGATCTTATTTATAGAGCAAAAGAGGAGGGGAAGAAAAACACACACAAGAAAATCATGTTCTCTACACTCTAGACAATCATTACCATAACTGAAATGCTTTCTTTGGCCTGCTTTCCTCATAAGTGTTTCCTAAGAACAGGAAAGCTTAAAACATGAAAGATATTTTGCATATCCAAAAGCTTTGGCTTCACGACATTTGCTAAATGGACAGAACAGATATGACAACAGCTGTGTTTCCTTACAAGTAAATTTTAAAAAGCACACTTGAGTTTTAAGATTACAACTGATTTCTCTGTCAAATGAACAAGAAAGATTAGAAGTATCTTTCCTACTAAGGAAAACACACTCTTGGATCACACTTACCATTTTCATCTCCAGCTGTTTTCCGACCATCCTCTGGGGAAACATGCACCAGCTGCAGAATAAGGGGTCTCCGGGTGACAACTCCAGTACCTCGTGGGAGCAGATCCCTCCCCACAAGACTTTCCAACACAGAACTCTTTCCACTGCTCTGAAAATTGGAATACAGCTGTGTGATTTTCTTAAAACATCAAAATGTTATAATATTTTAGTTTTAGCTTGCTTTATTACTCGCATAAATAGTGCTGTATTCTGTCCTCTGCTATACGGTGCCCAAAGGAGCGTCTGATACATTCACTGCATCTAACATAGTAGTATCACATTGCATGGGTACTACAGAACACAAGCCTCCTATATACCAGTAACGGTCTTGGGACACTTAAAAGCCATGTAGATAGATGTATTTTATATCTCTTGAGGCTAAATTAAACACATAACAGGTTTCAGAAAAAATAATATCCTATTTAACATTTTCTAACCCAAATATTAGTCCCTACAGAAACATTTTTGGAAAAGAAAAAAATTTATTTATAATGCTCAGAAGGAAATTCTGTGTCTTCTACTATGTCATTTTCTAACATGTCTGTAGACTAAGGAATTTAATCTTCTGTTAGTATTGACATGGACTGGCCATGTTAATACTAACAGGAGCATTATACAAAAATATATTAACTATGTACACTTCAGTACATTAAGATATTATACTCTTATACTCCTTACAGTTTGGGGTTTTTCTATAAAGTATTACACCAGCTTCATAAACACAGACATTGTTTCATACTCTAACAATATAAACATTGGTTTATACTGTCTCTCCCACTCTCTCCCTATATATATATTTATACCTATTTACAAGAGAACTGACTGAAAACATTGTCTATGTAATAACAAACTGTAATAAGTTGTGAAATACTCAAAGGCTGTGAAATTACAAATTTGCTTTGAGAGTCTACATTTAAAATGTTCTCCAGCTCTGCAGCACTTCTGTATAAAATGCAGAATTGGGCCACACAGTCCAATAAGCAGCTGTGAACACATGGGTTCTAAGAGTGATTCAACACCACTACCATGCTAAAACTAATAATAAACAATAGACCCAGATAGGTCAACATAATTCTTTAAAACTCTGACCAATAAGATTTTGTCTTTTTAATGGAAGTGTATTAAACTCTTCCAGTTTTCTGCAGCTGAAAAGTCAACATGGGCATGCCACGAGAAAACCTGCTCTGACAATTACTGCCCTCGGCTAGGATATGTTTCTATGCTAATGCTACTACCAAACAATCCTGTTAAAAAAAAATGCCAAAGAAATAAAAGCAGATGCTTCTGACAGCTAGAAAGGGCATTACTGCTACGAAACCTCAATTCAGCTTACCAGTTCTGAAAGAACAGGTTCAAGACATCAAGTAAATCATAAAACAAGTACATGACTTCAGATAACGTGAAATAAAAGCAGTGTTTAATACCTTTAAAATATCATACATTTAGTGACATCTTAGGTGACTTTTCTAAAAATGAAAAATAAATCAGCAGAGATCAAGCGACACAGCACTATCAGACAGCACATTTCTACCGGTGTAGTAAGGTAAGACAGGAACATATTACATTAGTGCATTACAACCTATTAAAATAGGACCTGTACACGGAAGCACAAAATAAATATTAAAATATAAGATCAAACCCCTAGAAAGCTTGAACAATGACAACAAATGAAAGAGACCTTTTCTTCTATCACTTTATTTTATAACTATGCTTTATGGCACAGAGAAATGCTGGTTTATCAACATCATTTGTCTCAATAGTGAATAACAAACCAACGCAGATTGTGTCTATTTTTCAAGGTAAATCTAAGTTACAGTGAGGTCAACAGCAGTGAGGTCAACTGTCTAAAAAGTGTAGGGAGAAGGACAGGGTCATAGGAAACAGAAAGATAGCCTTATGAAGATTTTTTTTTTGCTTCAAAAGACTCCCCGAAAAAGTAATTAATAATCATCTTCTTTAGCTGACCTTCTCCAATCAACTTGGGGCACCTTCCATGAAAGGAGCTTATGACAGGACATTGGGCACTGAAATCTTACCAAAGAGTAACTGAAAAACAAACTGGCCAAAGCACAAACTAGCTCTGAAAGCCCTCCTAAGAGAGCTCCATTGTAGCACACTTCTGAAGAATTACTGATATTATGGAATGTGAAAAAAACAGAAATTTCAGAGTGACAAAAACCAAACCACTTCCTAACAAACTTCATAATTTAAAGCAAGCAAAATGTCTGCTCAAAAAGATGACATCTGATAAAGGTTCATCAGCTGCATTGGGGAAAAAATGAAAAAAAACCCACAAAACCACCAGGGTTTCATTTATTAAAAACATTTTTAAAATCTCTTGAGCAAGATTTCTTACACATGAATAGAACGATCACTCAGTCTCACTGCTCAAAAAGATGACATCTGATAAAGGTTCATCAGCTGCATTGGGGAAAAAATGAAAAAAAACCCACAAAACCACCAGGGTTTCATTTATTAAAAACATTTTTAAAATCTCTTGAGCAAGATTGAGTGATCGTTCAGTCAGTCAGTCTCAAAGGGCTGGAGGCAAGACTTAGACGAAGTGCCTTCTCTTGAACATACAATCCAAGTAGAGAAGGGACAGTAATAGCTTAAATCCTTACCAAGAAACTCATAAAGAGAGGAAACCAAAAATCCACAGGACAAGTTGCTGCACACTACTGCTCATTGTTTGGTCTTTCCAAATAAGTGGTATTGCACGAAGCTGAGATGAGCACACACCAGACTACACAGGGAACTAAAACACTCCCAGAGTTATCTCTGGATGTAAAAAGAACAATCCAGATCCTTTGCATATATAAAGTCATGCATTAGATGAGACACTACAGTACTCCACAAATCAGGAAAATTTATTTCAAATTGCATTACATTCCCTTATTAAAGCAATCTGTTCTTGGAACATAATACAGTATCTAATGACGCACTCCTTAATTTAGGTCCCACGCACGTCCATTACCAAGAATTTTCTGGAAACATGGTAAGGAAACACAAAGCTGACCTTTTTCTGTCAGTGGAGGGAAGTGAGGGATATGGGGTCTGTTCAGAATACAAATCCATTCAATCAGTCCTTCATACAAGAGATGTAGACAGAGACTAATACTGATGACCAAAGGTACCACAGAATTTGTAGGAATAAGTCTGCAGCAGCATCACACTTGTTTTATCATCTCATTGGAATACTCGTCATGATTTTAAGCACGGATTGAAATGCATAAACTCATTTCATGACAAGTTCAGAAAAGCATTAACAAATTCTAATCTTTTGTGGCAGTACAGTCAGGTTTTCCTCTGGATCGACATCTGCTCCTAATCTGAAATATCTATAAGCTGTGATATCTAGAGGAACTTTATATAGATTGCTCAGAAAAAAAAGAGCAAATACAGCAACACCTTGCTGCCTGTTGCTTCTTTGTCAAACTTCCATTGCTGTGTTTTAACACTCTGTTCTGTTAACCATCATCAGTCTCACAGATAAGCACCTGGGTTTGATGGATGGTAAAACCATTTATTCCCAGAAGAAGAGATGATGCACACAGGGACTTAATACACACTGACAGTAAATATGATGTAAATTTGATCAGGTTTCTCACTGCCTCCTTAATAGTTACATTTTCATCACTGTCAACATCATCTTCAGGTTAATTTAGAACAATCAAAGATGAAGAGCAGAGTAAAAAGGAAACAATTGAGCACTTAGTGTCACAAATTAAAAAGCTGAAATCTGTAAGAACTCTATGAACTGTAAGAACTAAGTGATCCACTCCAAAAAGCCAGCATCTCTACTGTTTAACAATCCTAATGATCTTGCTTCTGCCTCCTTATCCTTCATTTGTTATTTACTTGTCCCTGCATATTTCAACTGTGTGCACTTCCTAAGCATCAAAAGGCATTCACTTCCATCATCCATTAGGCTAACTCTTATAAGCTGTATTACTAACCACATTTTTCAGGAATTCAGAAGCAGCAGACAACAGTGAAAAACTTTATAATTGTTCAGCTTCTTTAACAGTAGGAGATGTTACTTTCAGAAACATTTCAGGGTTGTTGACAGGCCAAAAGGAAGAGACTGTGTATTGCAAATTTTGAACAACCATTCACATTCATCAAAAACATTTACTTCACTGGTTTTGTTATTTTACTTCCGAGTTCTCAATACCATTCCTAATTTTACAAGACTTGTGCCCTATGCCCAACAGCATGCAAAGATGCCTTCTCCATATCCAAAAGAGAACCCTGATCTCCTCTTCCACTGTTGATAGTTACCCTCCACTTTGAGCCCCGCCTATAGGTACAAAGGCCTAGAAGACCCTGCTGATGAAGACCAAGACAAAGAAAGCACCAAGTACCTCAGCCATGTCCATATTCACTGTCATTAAACCACCTGTCACAGTCAGCAGCAAGCCCGTATTTCCCTTGTTTCTCTTGTTTCTTCTTTAACTGCTGATGCAGTGCTAGAAGTTCTTCTCGTTGCCTTTGAGGTCCCTTTCCAGTTTCAACTCTGGTGGAATGTTGGCTTTCTGAATACCATCTCTGCATATGCAGGCAGTATTTTTATATCCTTGAATGAGCTTGTCCTCACTTGTACCTCTTGCACGAGTTTTCTGCATCAACACTCAGTCATGAACTCCCTCCACACTGCTCTTCTTACACGTCTATTCATTTTTCTGAGCATTTGTATGGACTACTGTTTTGTGCTCCAGTGTGGTTGTCAAAGGCATGCCATGGCTCTTGAGCTTCACTGTCTTCTTACTCAACTGGATCCCACCAACCAGCTCAATAAATAAGTCTAAGTCTGCTCGTATTCTTACAAAGTCCATGCAGCAAGAACTCACCTGGAGTCTCGATGCACAAGAACTATGTGATTTTTTACAGTCATTTGCTCAGATTGTTGATTGTTGCATATTTGAAGTACTACTAAAATAATCTTACAAGAATCTGCTGCCTTCCTTCTGTCTGTCTTTAGACTTCACAATTGCTTTGTGGAGCCACTCTAAAATAAATCATCTGTGGAAAAAAAATCTTTATAAGGACACATGTCCAATAAAATCCTGAGGAACCTCTAACAAGAAAATTGGTTGAAAGGAGTGT